GTATGTTCACAAACGGTTTGCCAAAAAATGCAAAAGTTCTGAATTTTTTCCCCCCTCCCATCTCATATTTTTTCCACCACAATGTCCCTTCAGGGGCTCCATAAATACTCATATCTCATCTAAATGTTTGCTTTAACTCTGATCTGATTTTTCATCATAAAAATACATCACATATATAATTCTTCGCAGCCTTTTCAAAAAATGATCTGATCTGATCTGTATGGCTAAGAATTTTTTTTTTTCTTCTTTCCCATAAAGGACAAGCGTGTATGTGCCCACTGGCTTGGCTGCCTTTCCTGATGAGCTACTCCACTGCCCTAGGGCCTGGGCTGGCTCACGGTTTGCAGATGTACGTTCTTTCACCTACATGCCCCGGGGGGGACACTTCGCTGCCTTTGAAGAACCCCAGCTGATGGCTCAAGACATCATTCAGTTTGTGAAGAAAGTGGAGAGCAAAAGCCACAAATAACAGCTTTATTCCAGTATCTGAAGAAAATAATGCACTGCTCTGATCATTTACGTTTAGTGTCATTAGTGCATTTAACAATCTGAAGTTAATTCATTTGTAAATGCAAGGTTCAACATTTAGGAATGTTGTGTTTTTTCAATGAACCAAATTAAGTAATATAAAGAAGTTCTGTACAATATAATTTTGTAAATTTTTTTGCGTGACGATGAGCATAAAAACTCCTGTGCTGTTCAAATCAAACATTTTTGAAAATGAAAAGCTAACATCTGCCTGCTAAAAAGAAACTTTACAGTGTACATGCTACAATTACCAGTTTGCACCATTTCAACCAGATGTAATGAACCCTGTCCTCAAGATGAATGTTCTTTTGTAAATGAATGGAAATGCAAATAAAAACAAACAGTACAAAGATACAGCACCAAATGGAAGAGTTAAAATGCATTATTTTCATGAAAATATATACTGACAGACTTAAAGAGCCTAAAACACATCATTCATTATTTAAGTAAATTAAAATCATGTACATGCATCAGTTTCCAGAAGCTGCCATCTAGCAGTTGGTTTTAATTCATACTGACTTACAAATTGGTACAAATGGTCTTGGAGTGAGTAGCAGCCAAGATTGTTAAACATTAGAAAACCATCACTGTATTCTGTAAAATGAATAATGTAAAATATATGGATTAGCTGATGACAATGAAAACATGGCATAAATAATCTGAGGTCTTAAAAAAAATTTAAATTCACACACAATTCCTGAATAAAAATAATAATAAAAAAACAATAGCCCATATACTTTTTGGTCAGTCATACAGCAGTGATCCCTGAGAATGGAGTGAATTGTATTTCAGCATTCCCTGAAATCTGCTACTCTTTATTCCCTTATCATTTACAGAAACCTTTCACTGTGACGGGGGCTTGAAACCATATATAGTCCTCCAGATCTCTTTTACTTTTTTGTAACTCCCCGGTGAGAGACAAATCACTGGCTATAGAGATGACTTGCCTTTTCACTTTTGTGGGAACTTTAAAATCCATTTTGGGCTTAAACCCAGTCACGCCACAATCCCGGTGACCCAGTGCCATGACCGTAGTAGTCATGAGGCGCACAGACTTGGCATCTGACAACAGGTCAGCCACAAACAACGTGCGGAAAATCTGTCTCAGACAGGTTGAGGTCCTTAAGCTGTTTTCCCCGGCCCCTACAGCCACCGCTTCCATGTTCACCTCATACAGCTCGGTAGGAAAAATGGTAGACCCACCCAGCATGAAAAGCACACGACGAACTTGGCTAAGAGAGAACAGTGCCTCAAGGTGGGCCAGCACTTCATCAAGCTCCTGCAAAGTACGCCGACACCGACGCCAATCCAAGCCCTCGGATGTCTTTCCAGACCGTCGAATTATCGTGTCCTCTGTCTGTGAGAAAGGTAGCACAATTAAGTCAAACTTTATTTGATTTATGAATTAAGGTATATCTAATCAAATGAAGTCTTCTGTAATACCTGAGCGGCATTATGCTGCTGTTTCTGGAGGAACACCATTTGGTCATATGTCATAGGCATCTGCTGCCGCTGGTAAAGAACACACTTCAGAAGCTCACAAACAAATCTACAGCAACCATCCTGGGTGATACGGCCGGGAAAGACAACATTCACTCGTCCTTCTTCTCTTGCTCTCCTGAATATTTCCTCATCATCAACGTGGTTTGCAGACACTCCGCTAGATTCACAATCCCTCTGAATGCCAGAAGAACTGGCCAAAGCATCCATCTGCTGGCAACCTTGAAATAAAAACAATGGAATCAACATTTCGGAGATTTTCCAAGGCACAGACTAAAGTGGCAAACAGCAAAGAGAACAATGATGTGACACTATTTTGTCGTCCAGATCAGAATTTATTTACGGTTATATAAAGATGTTATATAAATACGTTCTGTACAATAATATTTTTTGCCTGATGCTTTGGGCATACAAACTATAAAAATAAACTTTTTAATCTGTACTGTAAGTTTCAAAAGCTAACATCTGCCTGCTAAAAAGAAAATTAGTTTCACCGCTCATTACAATACATGCTTCAATCATCAGTTTGTGCCATTTCAACCAGATATATTTTGTAAGTGAATGGAAATGCAGGTAAAAGTAAACTATACAAAGATATAGCACCACAGGTAAAGTGAAGTTTTAAATTGCATTATTTTCATTAAAATATATAATTGAGAGACTCGAACAGCTTAAAACACATCATTTATTAAAGCAGCGCTATGTAACTTTTGTCGCTCTATCGGTTAATAAACAGAACTGCACACATCCCGCGGAAGAACATTCCAACCGGAGCTACTTCTCTAAGTTTATGTCTATGGCGATTCACGCAGGTATGTGTTACTCCGCAGCGGTGACGACCCGACCAGGCTACAATAGTCCAAATATAAGTACTTATTATAAGTGTACCGTAGTGATTCGGAATAAGACAAAAACGCGGTTTGGAAGATGAATTCATGATGTACTCGCTCATTATATACATTTTTCAAATTTTGAACACAGAAAAAGTGACAGTGCTGCTTTAACTTTAAGATGATTAAAATCATGTACTTTCAGTACATCAATTTCCTGAAGCCGACATTTAGCATATACTTTACTTATACGTTTTACTTTTAATTGTTTAAAGAAAGTAAAAGCAAAGCAAAACCATTAAAATGCAATTTGTCACCCGATCGTGACTGTATATATATATATATATATACATACGACAAGTTTGTATTCTTGTTATTCTTTAGACTTCTCATTTGTGATTAACTTATTATTTAACAACTGAGAAGTATAGATAGGAAACCTAACCATTTGCCAATACTTACCATCATGATCGTCACCTCTATGTTCTGTTCTTGCGTGTGTGGGGCTGTTTCTATTTTCTTTGTCCTCTGATGGGTTTAAAGGCTCCCTGTCTCTCTCAATCTCACCAATGTTGTCCAACAGGTACACATTTCCCACTTTAGCGGAGGATTCAGGATCATCGACCTGGCACAAAATGTTCCATTCCTTTTCTCCATCAGATGAAACCTTTGATTCTTCTTCGTGAGATATACACTGATCGGTGTGAATAATTGTGTTATTGTAGCTGTTGTTAGAAACAAGGTTGGTTTTGCTATGTTTGATGACAGTCATGTTTGCACGCTCAAACTCTGTCCTCTTCGATCCCTCTTCCATTTTCTACTGTTTGAATTAGCCCACCGGGCAGGGCATCATGGGAAACACGGGAACCGGAAATCATGGGAAATCTAATAAGAGTCCCTCTTGCATTTTTATTTCACGGGTTTTTTTAATAAATAAAGAAATCTTTGGTTAGCATGAGATTTATTTATATACAGATGTATTACATTTTAATAGCCAGGCAATTTTTCCTGTCTTTTAAAAAAAAAAGTCTCTCTTCGGATTTAAAGCAAAGCGGCGAATGACGCCCTCTGCAGGTTGGCTTTTTCATACAGCCCAATCCTGTTCGGCTCTTGGCCATTCCTGCATAAATGTTATTAGGTTATCGCCGGATTGATTGAAATCTCACAATAATGGAGGCCTTCGTGCATTCTGTGCTCTAGTCTAATCTGCAGAGATTCTGTCATGCATTAAATTGTGGGAAGTTTTAGACTTCACAGACTTTTAAATAATGTTTCGTCAAATAAACGTATTTTTCTTAATTAAATATGTACTGACAATATGAAAGAAAGTATTTTTTGAACAAGGTGATAACGCTAAGAACGTCAAAATGAGATTTTAACATGCCCACATTTTCTCAAGGCAAATCCTCACAGCTTATATTTTAATCACTCATTAATAGGTATAAAATGATTAAATGCCCAATTGTGCATATTATAGTTAATCCATACCTTAAAGTAATATATTCAACATATATTAAGTCACGGAGCTCGTTTTTGCAAAGAGTTCAATGTGTCTCATTGCATACAGTCTATCTTGAAACACGTCCTCATAGACATTTGTATACATATACAGCAAACCTGTTGCTACAAAAGGCTGATTTAGTAAATAACCAATATCACCACATCTATTTTTTACATCATTACATAGTGTAAATATGGCTGAATAATAATATATAGTTAGATCCACAAGAATGTTTTACCTTATGCTTCTGTAGACGCAAGAACATTTGACCCTTTGTCAAGTCACCTTTATTTATACATAGCGCTTTATACAATACAGATGAGATTGTCAAAGCAAAGTCTATTCTGCGGCAAAAGTGTATCGATAAAGTTGCACATCACTAAACAGCTGTACCAAATATGTGCTCCATCCCCGCATTCCGCTACCACGCACGGCGCTCCAGTCTGCCGAAGCTCTTTCACTCGCTCCCCGCGGTTGCTACCCTACCAACCCTACAACGCTTTGACGCTCAACCTAGCGCGTTTTATCGGACTGCCGCATGAAACCATCCAATCGCAACCCAACTTCCGCGTACGAGCCGACCAATCGCCGCGCGCCATTTCCCACGCAGCCACCCCTGCTAGCGTTAAGGTAGGTTGCATCACCGCACAGTCTCCCCACCAACTACAATTTGACAGTTTATCAGGTGAGGCGTCACGCTACAGGAGCTCTTTCACTTTCTCTTGAGTTTCAGCGCGCATTTCGCTGTGAGCCTGGGGTTGCTTAACTCAAAAACCAATTACCAGAAGCCCTCACACCACGGCACCATGAGCAAAAAGAAAAAGGAGTGGAGAGCGGAGAAAGGTAAGGGTCTTTTGGACTCTCGCCGTGTCTCTTTCGTTTAAAGACAGGATTCATAACTGTAGTGTCAGTCGGGTTTGACATCCACCGGCTTGAACCTGGGGTCACGGCACGCACGTGGCGGGAGAAATGTCGTCTTATAGACGCTCTGCCTCTTGAATCAACAGCATGGACAGATGCACACCTTCAGATGCAGGTGGAGCATCAGTGCATGATGCTGTGATCAAGGCCCGTATGTGTCCATCGTTAAAATCTGTTTAAATGCAAATAAAAATGCATTAATTAGTGTTTAATCTTTTATAAATGAATTGGAACATGTACATGTTTGATTGGCGCATTTAGTGAAACGCCGTATGATAACATAAAACCCCCAACGTGGTGCTTTCCATGAACTATAACCATTGTACCCTTGATCAAGACGACAAACCCTGTCTGACTCCATGCAAGTCAGTTTGTATAAATGCATCAGCTAAATTACAAATTAAAAGTTCTGTTAATTAAACATTTAATGAAACTAATGTCATGCATGCATGCACTTTTGCTAGATCCTGGTCCTGGATATCCACCTTCATAAGTAGTTTAGTTCTAGACCTATTGTCTAAAACTGTAAGCATACTACTCAAAAATGATTTGGATCAGGTGTGTTTGATCAGAGTTGGAGCTAAACTTTCCTGGAAATTTGCTTTCAGGGAACAGGATGGTATAATGCAACTTTGATAGTGTGTTTGGAAGTTCTGCACTGTCCAAGCCTGTTTGATATAATCATAATTTAGCTTGTTTTGACCTGAGAACCTTAATGATTTTGTGTTACAACAGAGACACTTTTTCATTAGAATAAGATTATTTTAAATAATTTGAAGTGCACAAGCACTGCCACCTGTTCTTGACATCATCACTCAATGTGACCTGAAGCTCACGACAACACAGTTATTGATTGTTGAAAATTTGGCCTCCAGTGAAGTATGGTTATGACACATTCTATGAAGTGATGCTACTCGATACACATTAATGGTCTGCTATCGTAACTCAAACGCACTTATATGATGAGAGCTGTTGTCTAGAGTAATACAGTGCATTGCAGTGAGCAAACATCAGATACTTACGTTATAATATCTTCTGATGGTGACTCGCTTTGTTGGCGTTTGTGCTATTTTAAAATTGCAAGTACACATTGCACTCATATAGCAGCCTTTGTGAAACAGATCTTCATTCGTGTAGCAATAGAGAGTGCAGGAGGATAAAAACGGAAAAAATAAATTAATAAAGATGGTTGAAAAGGCAGATGTAGGGGCAGTCAGCATGAAAAATCAGTAGTGTCGGCAGGGGCACTTTGGAGCTGGTTTCTATCAAGAATTGTACGTTTTATTTTGTCTGGAGTAGAAAAAAACCTTTTTGGAGCTTCTTAGAGCTTGTTACATTTTATTTTATTTTAACTTCTTATTTTACCACATAATAACTAGTGAACCCATTACGCTTTACTTTATTGGACCGATTTCTAGAAATACCAAATGTTTCATTTGAGTTACTAATTTCTCTGTTTTGTGTATTTCTGATTTTATTTTCATGTTTAGTCAGCACCAATGTTGTTCAATGTAGACAAGTGAAAATACAATGTTAAACTAGAATGGTTGGATTATGATAAAAACAAGAAGCAAAAATATAACCTTTTCTCAAAGTTTACTTAATTTAATGCTTTTTCTTCGAAATACAGAATTATAGGAAGGTTTTTTTTAACCATCCCTTCCATGAAACTTTTGCAAGGAGTGTTATGTCATTTAGTGCCAACAAAGGTCGCATTAATGGGAGAAACAAAAGTGAAACTAAAACCTAAGAAAGAAAGTTGTCAAGCTGTGTAGAGAATGAAAAGAGAAAGGAGGATATAGATTGTAATGAGAAACCAACTGTGTAAACTTTAGTCTAAACTAGTCAATGAAACATTCCTTTTTTTGAATGCAAGTTCTCAAATTTTGGCCACATAAATATTAGGAAATGATTGAATTATATTGTCCATGTACATTAGATAGAAGCAGACTGTGTGTGTGATCTGTTCTATGTCAGGCCTGCAGCTGTATGCTGAACAGTGTACCCTCATTAGCTTGTCACTTCTTTCTCACACACACTTACATGGCTGCCACAATTACCACACCAAAGACTTCCACTCTGACATGATGCATAGAGCTAGTCGCAGATGTTCCTTTATGAACCCCTCTGATTCAAACTGATTAGCTTTGCTTCACAAGACATGCTCTTGTCTGTCTGTATACTATGACAGTATTGTTTCTTCTTTTTCACAGAGCGCTTACTCAGTCTTGGTCTAGAGGATAGGCGCAAAGATTATCGGGGAAACCATGTGCCATTGGACAAGATTCCCACCTGGGCAAACCATGATGATAATACAGGTAAATCTCAACGCCTTTCTGACTAATTTGTTTTTCAACCAATTGCAGACTCGGGAAAGCTGCTTGAAAATGATTTGCAGTTTGTTTTGTGGTGAAGAAATTGCACACTTTAACTTTAAGTAGCCCACATGATTTTACAGTAGTGAATTATATATGGTACCATTCAAAATTTTGGGGTCAGTAAGATTTTTTTTTTTGAAGGAAGATTAATATTTTATTCAGCAAGGATGCATTAAATTGATCTAAAGTGACAGTTGAGACATTTATACTGTTACAAAAGATTTCATTTTCAAGTAAATGCTGTTATTTTGAACTTAATATTTATAGAAGAATCCTGAAAAAATAGTATCAAGATTTCCACAAAAATAATAAGCCACATACATTTTTTCAATATTAAGAAAAAGTGTTTCTTGAGCACCAAATCAGTATATTAGAATAATTTCTGAAGGATCATGTGGCACTAAAGATTGGAGTAATGAAGCTGAAAATCAGCTTTGCCATCAAAGGAATAAATTACTTTTTAAAATATATTAAAATAAAAAGTTATTTGTTAATACAAGTTAATTGTAATAATATATCACAATATTACTCTTTCTACTGCATTTTTGAACAAACAAGTGCAACCTAAGTGTGAACATCTTACCAACCGTGAACTTTTGAACGGTAGTGTATGTCTCTTGGCCAACAGCTTTAGAGCGTATTCTCTTATATTATAGTTGTTTCATGCCCTTCTCTGCCTGCAGACACTATAATCATTCTGCATGCAAGTGACTTGCTGCCCTTTAGAAGGGAAAGGACACATGGATCAGTGTGACCCTGACAGCTCGGATATCATGGCTTATTTATGGATAGTTGGGCAGCACATCTAAGTTTTATTAGTAGATTTAGTTTAGCAAATAAATATGATATGTAGAACAGAGAGACATAGATGGTGACATTCTTCAAAATATCATCTTCTGTGTTTAGCAAAACAAGTTCGGAACAACTTGAGGGTGAGTAAATGATGACGGACTTTTCATTTTTGGGTAAACTATCCCTTTAAGTTCCGACTCAGGTGATCCGATCCTAAGTGGGCACTGGGCAGTGCTTAATACAGGTGTAAATGGTGTCTAAAATGTTTTGTGATCTGCTCACTAAAATCACGTAGAAGTAGAAGACTTGGGGGCCATTCACACAGAATGGGTTTTTCCATTCCAATGCACTACTTTTCCATCATTTTTTTTTTAATGTAAACACTTGCTAGATGGACGTGTAAGAAGATCTGCTCTTGGACAAGTCTCACATTTTTTTGCAGCGTCTCGCACATGAGTGCCACGTTTTAAAGATGCCTAGTTAAGTTAAAAGGATTCAAACTTTTACAAGCAGTGCTGCTCATCAGTGTCAGTTCCAAAGCAGTGGACCAATCAGAAGACCCTAGAGGCGGGGCATGTGTTGCAAGATTTTGTTTACAGTAGCAAGTTGGCATGGCAACTATTTTATTTTCGGCAGCATAGCAGAGGAGGCATTCTGCACTGTGCTTTTTTTAAAAATCATTCCTGAGCATTGCGTCTTGCGTTTTTAGAAGCAAAGACGCCTTCTGTGTGAACGGCCCCTTAGAATATCAAACATCTGAAACTGTTGTTTCCCGTTTTAAGACCAGGGGGCTGTTTCATAAAAGACGCTAAGAAAAGTGGGGATTAAAGTCCAAAACCTGACTTGAAATAACCTAACAAATCAATCGGGACTAAAGCGGTTTCATAAACGACAATTTAAGTTCACGCAATCTCACTAATTCGATCCAGGTTCAGTGAGTCAGGATAATTTGATGTGCACGCTTATTCTTAAGCAGCCCTTAATGTCGATCATGGATCAAACCGATCCACCATGGCAAACAGCAAATATTTGTGCCGTTTAACGCATTTGAGACATTGTGTTTTCCTCCGTGCATAACTGACAAGTCACAGGTATATTTTTCATCTGTAAATGTCATGCAAATATATTAATTTTGCTGTCAGGAGTGGGTGAGGCTTACGTGAGTGAACGAGCGCTGCTGCGCGCATGCACTAAACAGATGGAACGCAATAGAATAATTCTGAATAAAATATGCATTCTGCTAAAATATTTGTTGTTGAACATTAAATGTGACGCATGTAGAATTTTAATCCTACATATAAGTGTATTTTTATGATAGCAGTAACTGTAAATCAAATGTAAGCTAGCTAATACAGCCCAAATTACTAGCTCAAATGAGTTTGTGTATTCCTCATATCATATATAATATAGTCTGTTTTATATTATTTATTTAGATTTTTAATTTAGTGATTTTGATGCTTTAAAGAGCAATTTTATGTTGTAATGTTTTAATGTTCTACTAATAACCATAAAGTACAGCTGTCATAAAACCAGAGAGAAAGGCTGCATGGCTAGAAACGGCTGATCAACGAAATGCGCATGTAGCAGCATGTTAAAATGTTTTCAAATATCTTAAAACAAAGTCATTAAATCTTGGGCACAATACATTAAATACAGTCGGTTGTAGCCTATATTTTTTTTAATTTGATTTATTTAAGTTGCATTTTCTGTATACTTTTATTTTTGGACCGATAACATCAAATAATTGTATGTGAGAGAGTCAGCGGTGTAATATCAATGTGTTCCTATTGGTCAGTGTTAGAGGAACTCAGCTTAGCCTGACAGTTAGCCTGACCAGGTTAGTTTCCCAGCATAAGTTGTGTGACTGAGCTTGAGGTATGGCAATTTTGCTTTATGAAACCAAATCAAGTGGAAATAAGTCAGACTAACTGAAATAAGCCTGGCTTATTTGGTAAACTTGTTTTAGGAAACAGCCCCCAGATGTCTGTTGCATAAAAGCTTAGATTGGTTTAATTTGAGAATGAAAAAGTATGAATGATTATCCCTTGGCTAACTGCTAATTGGTCAAACTGCTAGTTTTTAAAACTACATTTTAACATAATGGCTGTGTTTATGCAACTGGCCCCTGAAGATCAGGAATTATTTTAAAGACATAGTTCATCCAAATAAGAAAATTCTTTCATAATTTACCTACCCTCATGCCTAACCCTTATATGTTTTGTAAACCGGTAGATCAACAGATTAATTGAAAAGATTTGACTCAAAAAAGTATTTGTTCACAGATCAGACATTTGCTCTCCTCTCATAAATGTGACAAAAGTTTGATGATTTACATTTCACACACAAAGCTACCAGTGACTTCAAAAGATTAATATAGTTCTAGCCTTTTATGATGCTATGTGTGCTTTTTGAAGCCTCATGTAAAAGACATGCCAAACAGATTTTTATTCTACTGAAGAAAGTTGGTCAGTCATACAGGTTTGAAATTGCACAATGGTGAGTAAAGAGAGCATTTTCTTTTTTACTTCCTGCAAGAAAACATTTTCTTTTCCGTGTTATTCATCTTGTTTGTCTGAATGCAAAAAATCCAGGAGAGCATGAATTACATGGTTTTTTTTCCTGAGGCACAGTGGCAGAGAGGTTTCCTACAAAAAGTCAGACAAGCGCAAACATAGTCTTTTTATTATCTTTACCCAAATAAAAGTTAAGGCTTGAATGCACTTCAATTTTGAAACGTTAAGTTTTCTCACATAATGTTCTAGAATTCTCAAAGAAAGTGCTTGCTAATTAATTTATTGAGACCGGAATATGCATAGGCATAGTGCCTGTATGGTTATGATCCAGAACAGATCAAGGTTCCAGCATATCCAGCATAAGGTTTTATGCTGTTTTATGATTTTCATTTTTGGGTGAACAATTCATTCGCATATTGTTTTCCATGTTATTCGTCTTGCTTGTTTGAATGGGGAAAAAAAGCATGAATTACATGTTTTTTTTTCTTTTTCTGAGGCCCAGTCAGACAGAGGTTTCATACAAAAAGTCAGACAAAGTGCGAACACACAAATCATACGTGTGTGTGTGTGTGTGTGTGTGTGTGTGTATATATATATATATTTTCTTTTCAATTCTTGAAATGTTAGGCTACTTGTTTGCCCATATAACATTCTAGAATTAACACAGAAAGTGATTTAATGAGTCAGGAACACATGTAGGCATAGTGCCTGTATTGCTATGATCCAGCAATACAGATCAGTTCATTCAGCATAAGGTGCAGCTCTGAGTTTCTGGGTTTCATCTATCCTGCAAATGAGGAACTTGGGTGTCATACTATACCAGGGTTTCTGCAGGTCTTAAAAAAGTCTTACATTTAGTTGCATCAAATTTAAGGCCTTAAAAAGTTTTAAAATTGTACAAGAAATACATTTTGTTGATACTGATTTCATTTGCTTGGTAACAGCCCAGATGCAAGAATTTGACTCAAAAGATGGTGCACACTTTTAGAAAAAATGGCTTAAAGGTAAAAATGCCCATAAAACTTGTTGGAAATGATTACTTTCTATCACTGCTGTGAACTGACCAAACAGAATATGAAGAATATCAAAAAATTCTGGAGTCAGCTGTTAGCACAATTAAAGATAAGATATCAGCACAATAACACACACTAGCAAAATATTGTCTAATTATCGTTATCGATAAAATCCCAGAAAATTATCGAGATATAATTTTTTGGCAATATCGCACACCCCTAATTTATGTTATTTAATTGATATAAATACTGTTTTTGTTAGTTTTTCCTGTTTTTTGTTTCTCAAACACGATCAGTTTTACCAGGGATGAGCAATGAGCAAAATAATGCAGCACATTAAATTGCCAACGCAAAATAAATAACTGTCTATAAAAAGAAAAACATTACGTCTAAATTAACTCATATAAATCAAACATTTAGAGCAGCAGTCATATTTGTCCATATAAAAAATGCACTGAATATGCGTTCTGTGTGAATGGCTTGGTTTCGGGTTTAACCTAATCAAGATCTTCTACGCATTGAGCTACTATATTTCTCTAATATTTTGAATGAATAATGCAGCAACTG